TATCATCCTGGGTATCACCCTGGGTGTCACCCTCGATATCATCCTGGGTATCATCCTGGGTGTCACCCTCGATATCATCCTGGGTATCATCCTGGGTGTCACCCTGGGTGTCACCCTCGATATCATCCTGGGTATCATCCTGGGTATCACCCTGGGTATCACCCTGGGTATCACCCTGGGTATCATCCTGGGTATCACCCTGGGTATCATCCTGGGTATTGATTTCCTAAATCCATTCAACACTGATTCACAAGCTCCCGATTCATCTGATATCGACATCACTCGATGGGAGACGTCAGTATATTAGAATCTTGCAGAGACTCAGAGAAATAAAACTTTAAACTTTACAAGGAATTATTTTATAAAGGAGATAAAATTCAGATAAGCAATAAAACTGAATAAATTATAACTAAATGTTGGTTGTATGATAACAACAGCAAAACGGAGAAAAGGAAGTGAACAGTTACGTCACAGCATCTGAGGAACGAAGACTTAATAATTTAAAGACCGCTGAGATTAACGCGGTTAAAGCTTCACATCTGTGGAAATGAGCCTGCGTTAAAACATCAATCTCAGATTTTATAAATCGACATCCGGTCATTATTATCTTTATTATCAAATATTATTATTATTGTTTTCAAATAAAGATCAATTTGATTTGAAATGATTTGAATCTGATGAATTGAATATTTTAACTTTTAACAGAAAACCTTTTAGATGTGATGTCAGCTGATGACATCAGAATATTATTTTATATACATCTCCTCACCCACCGCAGTCATACCATGTCTGTCTCACGATCCATGGTAACCACAGCGTCTGTCTCACGTTTCCATGTTAGCCACAGTGTCTGTCTCATGTTTCCATGGTAACCACAGTGTCTGTCTCTTGTTTCCAGGGTAACCAGAGTGTCTGATGGCTGCCACATTGAGATGAGGCTCGTTGTGGTCGAGATGACAGAACAAGACGTGAAAACGGAGCTGAAGTGTGTCGCTCAGAATCGAGGAGGGAGACAGGAAGTGGTCGCACAGCTTCAACTAGAAGGTGTGTGTGTGTGCATGTGTATGGCCACTGAAGCACTTTGACTATCATTGGATTTCAGTATGCAGTGGATTAGATCGAATCACAACACAAATTAAACATTAGCAGAACAAGGTTGTTGTCGTACTGCTGCTTAAAGAATATAAGCAAAACAAGCCCGAAAAAGGCACTAAGCACGGCATCATCAAGCATCTTGTTATCCGGAGCGAAGACTACAGTGTTTTCTTCCGGTAAACGTAAACACGTAACATCCGCCCCGCCCCCTATCCAATCAGAAACCTTCCCTGACCCAAACCTTGCGCAGACCCGAATAAAGGCGATTAAACTTATCTCCGTGTAAACCCTCATTCAGAATGAATATTTCTCATGTAAACTACCTGGAAAGACTTTAATTCTGAATGATTTCATTCAGATTTATTTAATTCTGAATGAGAAGCCATCATGTAACCGCACCCAGTGAAACAAGATGTTAATTAAAGTTACGAGACTCAAAACAGACATCTGTGTCCTGATGGAAGTCAACGGGAAAAATCTTTTCAACAGCCTCACATCAATCAATCAATCAATCAATTTTATTTATAAAGCCCAATATCACAAATCACAATTTGCCTCACAGGGCCTTACAGCATACGACATCCCTCTGTCCTTATGACCCTCACAGCTGATCAGGAAAAACTCCCCAAAAAACAGATGGACTGTCAAGGTGGACGGTTAGGGTGGACTGTTAAGATGGACTGTTAAGGTGGACTGTCAAGGTGGACGGTTAGGGTGGACTGTTAAGATGGACTGTTAAGGTGGACTGTTAAGATGGACGGTTAGGGTGGACTGTTAAGATGGACTGTTAAGGTGGACTGTCAAGGTGGACGGTTAGGGTGGACTGTTAAGGTGGACCAACTGTGATAACAAAGTTCATTCTTTCTATCTATCTGTGGCTGTTGTTCTGGAGTCAGATTATTGTTGTTGTTTATCAGGTTTTATTCTTTATGTAAATTTTCTGATGGTGTTTTGTAGGGCTGTAGTCAACCAAAGAAAATCTTGGTCGACTAAAGTCGCACATAATCTTCAACTAATCGATTAGTCGTGGGGGAAAAATAATCTGCACGTTATTTTTACTTCTGCAGTGGTGTGTCTGTGTCACTCTGCAGTTACACCTCCAAAACACTAGTCGGCGGTGGAGGACTGTGTTAAGAGCTGTAAAGTTTAGTTCAAATCAAACTTTATTTATATAGTTGATTCAAAACACACATTAAACACACATTAAACACACATTAAACATGGTTTAATAGAGACAGTTTCAAACACAAGTACACAAACTGGCTTCAGTATAAATCGCAGAACTGACAGACAAACACTTGTCTTTATCTGGACACATTTTCCCCACCAATACAAAATGCTAACGTTATTAGCACAAGTCTATGGCGTTTTACATTGTATAAATTAGCCTAGCGTCTAGCGATCTTTCCCTCTTCTCATGTAAAACCAGGGACAACAGCAACACTTAACAAAGGTAATGGTACATAATTTGGCTCCATTACAACTCACAACATTCACTGACAAAACAACTGTCTGATACTAAACATGTTTTCCAAGCAAATACAACATGCTAACGTTATTAGCGCCAGCCTATGGCGTTTTACATTGTATAAATTAGCCTAGCAGCTAGCGATCTTTTCCTCTTCTCATATAAAACCAGGGACAACAGCAACGTGTAACAAAGGTAACGGCACATAATTTGGCTCCATTACAACTCACAACATTCACCGACAAAACAACTGTCTTATACTAAACACGTTTTCCAAACAAATACAACATGCTAACATTATTAGCGCCAGCCTATGGCATTTTACACTGTAAAAATTAGCCTAGTGATGAGCGGAGATTTCCTCTGCTCATATGAAGCCAGGATAAATCCCTGAAGTATAAATCCCTGAAGGATAAATCACACACAAGACTTAAAATGCTATTTTAGTGGAGGCTTTACTGTCTTCACAATTTATTGTTTCTTATGTGTGAAATACAAGTAAATACAAGCTTTGTTTCCACTGAGGGAAATGGTGTCAGCTTACAGAGACAGACAGGAGGTCTGCGTCACCGCGACGCTGAGCGTGAGGGTGGGCGAGTTCAACTTTCTGTCAACAAAGGGCGTGTTTTGAAAACACCCCCATTTTCACAAGTAACTTAGCCTGTCCCCCCCCCCCCGCAGGAAATAATGGATTAATCCTGGAAAGCTGTTGATGTAGCACTTTTCTCCTTATGAAAGTAACACGGCGATTATTCTACTAATGAGAATTTGGTCGAACGAGAGCATAGCGACCAAATAATCGACCAGTCGACCAGGAGACTACAGCCCTAGTGTTTTATATTAATTCATATTTATATGTTTAAGTGTATTTTACACAGTTAACAGTATAATGTTTAAATTTTTCTATGCATTAAAGCAGCTGTTCTTTAATTTTGTTGAATGTTGTTTTGTGCTTGTTTTTATTTTAAGTATAAGTTAAGACACCGTTTATGGAACAGTGCCGCTTTAAAAGAATCATTTTAGCACCAGTGTAAAAACCCCAAAGATGTCCAACCATACAGACCATTATGTTCTATCTTGACTTTGTTGTCTTGTTTACAGTCTTAATGTCCGACTGTTCGTGTTTTTGACCACGTCTGATTCTGTTTTAACAACGGAGACAAATAGATCTCAGTAAATAACCAATGAACATAAAGACTAACGTCTCCTGACACTGACATGATCCTTAGTGATGATCGAGACGACCCTAACCCTCTGAATCACTCGCCTCCTCTTCTCTCTGCAGACTCCACATTTACATGGCTGGTGGTAGCTGCAGTGGGCGTGTCCTGCTTCCTGTCTGTGGTCTCTGTCTTCCTGTACGTCCTCTTCAAACCTAAAAGGAAAAAGAAGATGGATTACATCCTGGCTCGACAGAACAGCACCTTCTAACACAGACCCCTTTAATGTGTTTCAGTAGTCTGTCATGCACTGTGTGCATGTGAATTCATGCAGTGACATCACCAGGATGTGTTCAGGGTCCAACACTCCTTTTACAGAGACTTAATGTTTGTAAATCAGCAGCTACATTCAGCTCCAGTAACGTGCTGTTACTCAGTGTCCGTCATGTCTTTATTCTCCACTGAGCATTACTCAACAATGTGTTATCGCTTCAATAATGAGGCATCTGTTTCATTTAAGTATTATTTTACAGCCATAACTTTTCTTTCATGGATCCATGTCGAATCTGAGGCAGAAATATCCTGCTGGAATTTAACCCAAAACTAGGCCTATATGTGGACAAATTCAGTTCAGTCTTCTGTAACATCTGCGTCCACGTGTCCAATACACAGTTCAATATGAGGTCGTTCAAACACTCCATCAGATGATGTGTTCAGTGACCACGTCAGTCCAACACTGTCAGAGACATTTATAAAGTCACAAACACAAAGGAGGCAGATTATTAGAAACACCTCTCACTGACTCGTTCACAGCAGCAATTAATCAGTCAGTTTCCAACTATTAAATTAATCAACTCATTTGATAATTATTTAATTTCTCAGACTGAATATTTCCTGGTTTCTTTCCTCTGTGACAGTAAACTGAACATCTGTGAGGACGTCATTAAGAGAAACATTTTATAGATGAAACATTTACTGATTAATCAAAACAATTGACAGATTAATCAACCATGGAAATAATCGTGTGTTGCATCCCTCTTACAAACACAGAGACAATATTCACACTGGTGGTGATACCATCCTGTTGATAGTCTGATACCATCCTGTTGATAGTCAGATACCATCCTGTTGATAGTCAGATACCATCCTGTCGATGGTCGGATACCATCCTGTTGATAGTCAGATACCATCCTGTTTATAGTCTGATACCATCCTGTTGATGGTCGGATACCATCCTGTTGATAGTCAGATACCATCCTGTTTATAGTCTGATACCATCCTGTTGATAGTCAGATACCATCCTGTTGATAGTCAGATACCATCCTGTCGATATTCAGATACCATCCTGTTGATAGTCAGATACCATCCTATTTATAGTCAGATACCATCCTGTCGATATTCAGATACCATCCTGTTGATAGTCAGATACCATCCTATTTATAGTCTGATACCATCCTGTCGATATTCAGATACCATCCTGTCGATAGTCTGATACCATCCTGTTGATAGTCAGATACCATCCTGTTGATATTCAGGCTCGCAAGCTGCTGTGTTGGACTGCATTAGATTTTACAGTATATATTTACAGTTTATTTTTTAAAATGCAGTAAAGCTCTCAGGGAAACATCTTGTACGTTAAAAGTAGAAAGTTAAGTCTGTTTTTAAATGTCTGACCATTTATATATCAAATCTGAATAAAGGAGTGATGTGTGAAAAAGCTCTGTATCCATGTCTATGTTTGATTAAATGAAGTATTTTAAAGTTATAATCTTAAAAAATAAACATTAGATTATTATATTTAAAGTATTTGATGGTTTAACTGTTGTGATGACTGCTCTTACATCGCTACAACTTGATGTCGCAGTGACAGGTTCAATGTTTCCTTCTAACACAGTGAAGAAGAAACGATCCATTAAATACCACAAACCTCAAACTGTGAGCTGAGTGTGGAAATGTCACATCTGATTTTACATGACGCACATTTATTTATTTACTTAATTAGGTTTCTGTGGGCCCTTGAACGCAGCACAGGCAGAAAATACAATATACCTCCTCAGGCGTTGGTACTCCGTCTGTGTCCAGATTACGATCTGTGCCCTCAGATTGTGGTGCTCCATCTGTGTCCTGTAATTGTAATTTCATTTTCTTTGTGTATTCTTTGTGTTTTCAAATACTTCAGAATGTCTAGACCTCTTAACCTCACACCTAGATACAAAATCCTGCAGGATACGCCAGGTGTGAAACACACCCTAGGGGGTCGGAGCCAATAGCTGCGGCAGACGAAAGAGTTTGAAAACAATGGGTAGGGGCACTGCTCCCTGCTGCAGACAGAAGGGTGTGAAACACACCGTAAGAGGCGTTCCTCAGGTATAAATGTTTAGGCTTTCCTATGTTCGGGGTCTTTCGTCATTCTGACCGCTCGTGTGATGACTGACCTTTTCTTTGCAAAGAAAATAAAAACCTTGTCGGCCGGCAGAAGTCTCTATTTCATTATTCACCAGCAGCAGAGAATTTCCACAACAATTTGGTGTCAGAAGGTGTCACATTTGGAATGGGGAGATTTCCGTCGAGGTTGGACCTCTGGAGGGGCCTATTGTGGATGTTATGAGAATGAGAAGGAAATATGGGGATAAAAGTCTAAAATATTTAAATGTCTGGACAGCTGAGTTTGGTTTCCCAATAGGGGGATCCCTCAGTTTAAAAAAACATCAAAATTAGAAAAAAAACTGAAGGGCAAAGAACAAGAAATGAGAAGGAAAAAGAAAGTTTCTGTGAAAAAAAAAAAAATTGAAAAATTGAAATTATAGAAGGTCAAAAAGAATGTTTACAGATGTGGAAAGGAGAAGCTTTAAATGTGAATAGGTTGAAACCAATGAAAAGCAAAATTCACACACACACAAAGAACACCAGACTCGCAGGTCTCCTCTTCTTTGTTTCCACAGTTGGCGGCTTTGAAGCTGGATCCAGATCTCAACGGCAACCCACCATTTCATCCTTCATTCAACACCTGCAGCGGCCTTCAACTACCTGATGAGTCAAGCGATTCTCCAGATGTGTGGGAAATTCATCTCTGCAATTGTTTCTTAAATGGACTAAAACCGGACATTGCCTCAGCTGTTACAAGTGCCTGCATCGTTTGGAATGATGCACGCCTGTCTGAACTTCGCAGACACGCCATACATGCCCATGACCAAATACCCTAAAATAAAGAAAAAAAGAAGAGACAACACAGAAGGAGCTTCACATGGCAGCAATAACCATGTATAACACAGTTATACAACATGGACAACCAGGTCATGAACTTAGAGGGAAAGAACGTGGCCGACACAAGAACTGGGGAAGAAAAACTCCAAATGATGTCTGTTTCCTCTGTGGCCAA